TGGGTTTAATTAAAGAGTTCCAATTTTGACTCGGTTTACTACTTTCGCCTCCAACTTGGTTATATAAGTGAACCGGACCGTTTAGTTTGACTTACGTTTCATTTTATTCCACTGTTCAAATTCAATTTATCGATTTCATTTCATTTGTGGGTTTAATTAAATCCACAAATTCAAGTCACATTTCCCAATAGTACTATTCAAATTCAATTTTGACTCGGTTTACTACTTTCGCCTCCAACCTAACATATATGGTTGGATTTTTTGTTTAAGTAAAACAATGTGGTTAATCAAATGCAATTATATTACAAGAGTATGTTTGTTCATGTTGAGAAACTTAAAAAGTGGATCCCATGGTTTAACTAGTTGCAGGAGAAAGATACAAAAAAATTCCTGACTAAATAGAATGGATCCTACGGTTTAATGAGATCTAATTAGATTTTAATCCAAATAAAATGTTTCAACTTTTAACTTTTTTATCCATATACTGATATGAATGAATCATTTTGTTTGACCAAAACAACTTGTTATGTACTTATATGATACGTTTAGTTAGTTTTTAAACTAGTACTAAGAAATACTACTATCACATGGCTTTGGCTTGCTTTTCTCACATAGCACTTCCAAAAGTTACATTTTTCCTTTTTTTTTATAAAACAAAATCCACTGAATTGAGTGTTTTTTTCAATAACTCTTTGTTAGAGTTAAAATGCATGTCTTTTTCAGATTTACATAGTATTTTCCAAAAAGCCACGTATTAAAAAAAGACAAGAAAGAGGAAATGGAAATCCCAAAACACAAAATTTGGGTGAAAAAGAGATGGACTAGGCCTCCAGACCCATGGTTGAAGTGTAACATTGGAGTGGACTGGTCTAAAGGAAATAACAGGATGGGGGCTTCTTGGATTCTGAGGAACAGCGATGGGCATGTCTTGCTTCACAGTAGAAGAGGTTTCTCAGACATTTGCTCTATTGAGGAGGCAAAGATTCAAGCACATTTATGGGTTTTTGAGAGCATGGTGGCTCACAAGTTAACAAAAGTCCTTTTCGCTACGTGTGCTGCGGAATTTGTTAATGCTTTAAACAGGTTCCAAGCGTGGCCTTCCTTCACGTGGCATGTTGTTGAATTTCAGTTGATTCTAAACCGAATGAAAGACTAAAAACTGGTTATTGAGACGAACCATTCGAATCGGGGAGCGTGGTTGATTGCACACAGTGTGATAAAGGACCACAGAGTTCATTCCTATGTTGCAACAGGTGCTCCCTCTTGGTTACAAGGTTTTTTGGCTGAAGAAAGCATATGTTAAGTAAAGAGGATCCTTCTGGCTATTTGATTGTTTTTGTTTTTGGTGGAACATGGGTTTTGTTAGCCTCTGTTTCCTTTCAAATAGTCCTGTAAATCAAACTTTTTCTCTTCAATATAATTATTC